CAAGCCCTGCCCTGCCCCACCCCATACTCAGCCTTGCCCTGTCTAATTCCCCAGCCCTGCCTTAACCCCAGCCCCATGCCAGCGTGGTCAGTGGGCAGTCCCACTGTGATTCTCCTTTCACCAAGGAGAGAAATGGGGCGCAGAGACTCGGGTCACAGTTGCCAATGGTCAACTGGGGTTTGTATTTCAAGCCTGCACTGCATTCAGACAGCTGAGCCTCCGCCCTGGACAGAGCCGGCTTGGTTCTGTGCCCCAAGACCTGGTCTCTGTAGAGTGGGGGGCTGGGGTGTCTTGGTCTTAGCAGGTGAGGGAACTCGACAGGCTCAAGCCATTTCCCTGTGAGATGCACAGGGGTGATGTGGAGCAGGACACGACTGGGCGGGGAAGGTGTTGAGGCCTGTGACTTCCCGCCTGGGCACTGCAGGCAGACAGCAGGGGGCTGGACGGGCCCCACTGGGTCGCTGTGCAGGGCCGTGATCTCGGGGCAGGGCTGGAAGGCCCGCTGCGTAGACCCCAGCCCCAGGTCACCCTGCTCAGAGGTACTGCCTTCTCGACAGTTCCGCTTGTCACCACAGTGAACCTGACTGTGCTGTCACAGCACTGAGACTGCTGCCTTCTCTTCCAGAGAAATTTTCCTCAGCGCTGCAGCCAGAAACCTTGTTGGACCTCCTGCAGGTGGAGGGCATGAAGATCGAAGAGGAGTCCGAGGTGAGGGGGGGCCCCACCTGCTGGAGCTCGGAGTGCACAAAGTGAGGGTAGGGGCAGTTTCTGGCCAGAGGGCAGGTGCACAGTCCTGTGGAGCTCTCCGGGCACTAGTGAGCCGGCTGAGAGACCAGGGAACCGAGCAGTGGGGTTCACCTCCAGCCCCTCAATCCCTGCTACCTCGTCTCAGCTCCCCTTGTCTTAAGCATCCCTAGTTTCTGTGGGCTGACAGGTCATGCCCCTTCTTTGCATGAAGAGTGTCCTGGGCCCTCCCAGGTCATTTGCGAAGGCATCCTCAGAGTGTCTGGGCTCCTCAGGTCATTCAGCACATAGGTCACCTGAGCCGGCACCAGGTGGGAATGCAGTCCTAATGTCAGCAGACAGCCCTGTCCCCCGGGAGCTGCCACCAGAGTGAGGAAGACAGATCAACTCAGCCTGCATGACACCCAGTGAGGGGGGCCTGGCTCCAGGCCCCGGGAGGTGCATCCTGCCCCCACATTCCCACTCCGTCCTGGCCATGCCCTCGCCTCTTGGAGGGAGTTAAAAGGATCTTCTGCCAGATGCAAGTTTGAGGAGTGTCCGACTCCCTGACTTTCTGAGCGCTGAGTTGAAAGCACGCAGAGATTGCGCACAGCCACAGGGCGTACGTGAGATGCACGGGGTGGGGAGAGCCCCAGCAGGGGACATCCATGTTCTGAGGGACGTGCTGACCTCCTCAGACGACTCTCAGGTTCTCGGCCCCCGGGCAGCTCTGCCCTGTGTCACAGGTCCTGTCAAGCCTCCTGGAGCTAGCAAATATTGGTCTCACTCGGGGGTCCTTTCTGGTGTCCAGCTTTCTCCCAGCCGCACAGAATCCTCAGGGCTGGCCTGGGAGGCTGACTTCACTTCTTCTCAGGGTTATGTCTCCAGAGCCAAGGTCAAAGGTCACCTCACTTAGGGTAAAGTAGGTCCCTACCCTCCGACAGACTGGTGAGAAAAATCCCCATTGGTGGCCAGAGAGCCATAGGCGACAGAGGTGCGCCCAGGTGTAGAGTGTGGTCTGTGCCCCGGGGTGAGCGGGCACTCAGCACACTTTGTGTCCGTCTCCCAGGCCATGGCTGAGAAGTTCCTAGAGGGCGAGGTACCCCTGGACACGTTCCTGGAGAAGTTCTCCTCCATGCGGATGCTGTCTCACCTGCGTCGTGTCCGCGTAGAGAAGCTGCAGGAAGTGGTGCGGAAGCCCCAGGCACCCCAGGAGCCGGCTGTGGATGCCCTGCCGCCCCGGCCACTGCCTCCACCTCGCCCCGCTCCTGTGGCAACACCGCCCGTGGCTGAGGAGCAGCCGCAGCCACCTCAGCTGCCTGCCGTCCCCTCCTACCCCCTGCCCTACAGCCCGTCCCCCGGAATGCCTGTGGGCCCCACTGCCCGGGGGCCGCTGCCGCCAGCCCCCTTCCCAGTAGTCTCCCAGCCCTCCTTCTCCTACAGTGTGCCTTCCGGGCCCACTTTCCCACCCACACAGCCAGGAGCCAGGCCTGTGGGGGGCTACTCCTGGTCCCCTCAGAGGAGCGTACCACCCCGGCCTGGCTATCCCGTAGCCCCGGCTGGCAGCTCTCCCTCTGGCCCCGGGTACCCCTTGCCTGGAGGCCGAGCCCCTAGTCCTGGTTATCCTCAACAACAGCCCCCCTACCTCTCCACAGGAGGGAAGCCTCCGTACCCCACTCAGCCACCTCTCCCCAGCTTCCCAGGACAGCCCCAACCCCCCTATCCGCCAGGGCCAGCCCCTCCTTACGGCTTCCCGCCCCCTCAGGGTCCCGGCTGGCCAGGGTACTAGACTCCAGCTTGCCCTCGGCAGCTCCCTACTCACACCTCTACCACAGCCTCTGCCCCTCCATCGCTGAAGTTCAAGGTGAAAGTGGAAGTGGAATCTGCAGGCTTGGCGCCCCACTGTGGTGCCCAGAATCTGGCACAGACCAGCCTGCAGATTGCGGCCCTGAAAGGCACTGGGCAGCCCCACTTTCCCACTTACTCGCCTCCAGACGCCAGTCCTCCTGGGGTGCCTTTCAGTGACTGGCTTCAGTGCCCCCTGCCACACGGTGCTGCCAGGCTGGGAGGTCACCTCTCTGTGGACGTCTCTGTGGTCATGTGCATGTGACTGACGTGTACCTGTGCTCACAGGTCCCTGAACCAATGTATACAAATAATCTCAGTGCCACTGTGGCCCCAGGTCTCCAGCCCCCTGTTCACCTGCCCCTTCTCTTTTGGGGTCTGGCTGTTCCTGTGGTTTCCACACCAGGGGGTGCAGCTCCTGTCTGTCCTGTCCGGTCAAGGACCACCTGCCCCAGCACCGCAGGGAGGGCTGGACTAGAGAGACAGATCTGTAAGTCTCCTAAAGCCATAATTTAATAAGTTGTCAGAGAAGCTTGTCTCACATCTATCCCTTTAGTGCCTTGGGCCTCATTCTTGGGCAGCCCCCTCACCCCCACTCCATTCTCCCTTCCTGAGACACACGGCACGCCCAACAGTAACATCCAAATGGTGCTTTCTAGAACACCATCGTCTGTGTCCAAGTTCACTGCTTTGTGTCTCGTCTACAAACTGTCTGCTCCAAAGGGCAGAGACTGGGCTTCCCACGGCTCCCAGCACACGTGGGGCCTCAGTTGTGCCCAAGTAATCGTGACCAGGAGACCGAGGGGGTGTGATGAAGGCCGCACTAGCTCCCAGGTTCAGATGCAAACCAGGTCCCCCAAGGCTGACCCGGGAGCCGCCGCCCGGCAGGAAGTTGTGCCTTGATGTGTCCACTGCTGCATGGCCAGCATCTGGGGTGCTGGGGGCCAAACTCGACCTCCCGGAGCCTGCGCCCACCCGCCCGGTCTGCATGCCACTCAGGCATGTGGAACAAGATGCCAGATGTCGGTTTCTTGTCAACTATGCTTGCTTCTCATAAGTTATTTATAGAGAGAAATCACTAATGGGTTGACTGGTCGAATGCTTCAGAACTGGATGTATGATTACCAGACGTCTGTGTGATTAATTGCCATAATAAACTTTGATGAATTCTAGGTAATGCTTGTGGTTCCTGTAGTTTTGAAGTGAAGCTGTAGTTGCTTACTGGGGGCATTGATTTTCCTCCCACCCTGCCCAGATCACTGCTGATCCTTGGTGTCTACTCTCCGTCTGTCTGGATCGTCTGTGGAGCTTTTGCCCCTTCACCCCCGGGGCCTGGCTTGTTTCACTTCCCTGCCCTTTGCTGTATTCCCTTTCCAGGCGTCTTTCTACTGGGGTCTGGTCCACCAGGGGGCGTCCTTAGCCCAGCTTGCGAGGTGCACTCGCCAGGCCGAGGATGTCTGCTTTGTCAGCGGGTCCCTGACCACCCTGGGGTGTACAGTGTGTGTCCCTGTGATCCTGTTTCTAGACTAGGACTGCAGGGCGTGCTCATCGGGACAGCAGTCCTTAAACTGTGGCACCAGCTCAGACGGCTACCGCCTCCAGAGCACCCCTCTGAGTTAGGGTTTTGGTGGTTTGTTTTTTTAAAGGAAAGGATGGAAAGGCACGTCAGGGAACTGGGAGACCAGGTTGCCCATGCAGGACGCCCCAGGCCACTCCTGCTTCCGAATAGGTGTTGAGGGCTGAGACTCATATTCCATGAGATTTCCCGCACCAGCTCCCCACAGCACTCAGCCTAAACGAGATGACGTGTTGTGAGGTGCGGCTGAGTTCTTCAGCTCACTGTGACCCTGTGTAAAGCAGAGTGGAACCTTCCAGGCTGCGCCATCGTCCAGATCTCTGGTGCTTAAGCCTGTTCTTGCAGTGGGTCCACTGCATTGAGGCTCCCCCTCTCCCTCTCCTTTGCTGACCCTCCTCTTTTCCAAGCATGGCCGCATTTGCTCCCAGGGACTAGACTTTCTGATCCAACTTCAAATTATCCTAGGTTCATACATCAGATATTCCACATTCCATTTATTAGTGGATATTTGCAGCTGTCTTTCCTCATTTTGAGTCCTGCCACATGAGTAAAGGAAGGTGCTTCACTGGGTGAAACTTTACTTCAACAACATCATAAAGACGGACTCTGCTTTGAGGAGGCAATTCCTGCCTCATCGTTTTTATAGTGTCTTCTCACTGAGGGCCTCACCTCCAGCACTGTGTCAGGTAGTGCCCCCCTGAGGGCCTCACCTCCAGCACTGTGCAGATAGTGTCCCCCTGAGGGCTTCACCTCCAGCACTGTGCAGATGGTGTGCCCCTGAGGGCTTCACCTCCAGCACTGTGTCAGGTAGTGTCCCCCTGAGGGCCTCACCTCCAGCACTATGTCAGGTAGTGTCCCCCTGAGGGCCTCACCTCCAGCACAGTGTCAGGTAGTGTCCCCCTGAGGGCTTCACCTCCAGCACTGTGCAGGTAGTGTCCCCCTGAGGGCTTCACCTTCAGCACTGAGTCAGGTAGTGTCCCCCTGAGGGCTTCACCTCCAGAAGTGTGTCAGGTAGCGTCCCCCTGAGGGCTTCACCTCCAGCACTGTGTCAGGTAGTGTCCCCCTGAGGGCTTCACCTCCAGCACTGTGCCAGGTAGTGTCCCCCTGAGGGCCTCACCTCCAGCAC